CCCGAGCCCGAGCCCGAGCCCAAGCCCCGGCGCGGCGCGGGTTCCCCGACGGAGGCGGCGGGCGCGGGGCGCGCTCTGAGGCCAGGGGATGCGCCGCCGCCTCGACCATGGGCGCTGTCGCCTCCCGGAGGAGGGCGCTGAGGAGCGAGGCCATGTCCTCTGTGGCGGCCAAAGTGCGGTGAGTGCAGCGGGTTGACCGCCAGGACCAGCGCCGCCCCCGTCCCCGTCCCCGTCCCCGCGGCGTCCTCCCCGGCGCCCCGCCCCCACCTCCGTGCGGCTCCCCTCCTTGAGGCTGCGATGGGCGAGCTGCCCGACCTCACGACCCCCCCCACACACATTGGGCGGCAGAGGCTGGACGTTAAGAGGACTGAGCCCCCGCCTGGAGGTCCCGCCAAAGTGCACGGAGACCCAAGGGTCCTTGGAACCGCGGCCTTACAGCCCTGGGCTTTCTGGAGTGGGATGGGAGTGCTTGCCGTCTGTGACCGGCAGCCCTCCCTTGCTGGCACCTAGGGCCAGGGTGGGGATGGGGACGCCTGGGTGGGGGTCTTGTGCACTGAGGGCGCACCTCGCTGTCCACCCATCAGAGCAGCCCGAGCGTTTGGCGAGTACCTGTCCCAGAGTCACCCTGAGAACCGAAACGGTGCAGGTAGGAGCACGTAAGGTGGTGCCAAGACGGGGTCCATACATAGCCCCCTCCACCTAGGGGAGGGATGCTGTCTTACGTGCAGGCCAGGCCCAACACCTGCGCACTGTGGGGCGCCAGCAAGCAGCTGCTGTCCTGCTGGGCTGGCTTCCTCACACCCCCTGCCCTCCCTGGCCCAGAGCCCCAGGAGGAGCTCCGAGTCACTCATCACCATGGCACCCACCCAGCCTGGGCCGTTGGCATGGCAACAGGCCTCCTGGCACCCCCGGGGCTGGCACCACTGTCTCTCGGGGCCAGCTGGTGGGGGGGGAGGGGAGGTATTGGCACTGGGTGCACGGGTGCGGTGGCAGGCTGGGAGGTGGCCTGCTTGTTCCTGCCCCCCATCACCCACAGGTAGTACAGCCTGTCACCCCCACGCACATATGTAAGGGGGGCTTGCGGCCCAGATAGAAGTGAGGTGTGAGCCTCTAGGGGGAGTGCGCATCTCGGAAATACCTCCTCTCAAGTCACCAGGGCCTAGGGTTTGGTCAGTGGGGCTGGGAACAGCCCTAGCCCCCCCCACCCCCGCATCTGGACCAGGCACCCAGTGGGTCTTCATTCCATGCCTTCAGAATACCAGCAGACTGGGAGGGCAGGGCCAGCAGGCTGTCAGTTCACCTGGTGCCTCTCCTCTAGACCACCTGCTGGCTGACGCCTATTCTGGCCACGACGGGTCCCCTGAGATGCAGCCGGCCCCCCAGAACAAGCGCCGCCTCTCCCTCATCTCCAACGGCCGCTATGAGGGCAGCCTCCCAGAGGAGGCCGTTAGTGGGAAGCCAGCCGGTGAGGGTCCGCAGCCCCTCGTGTACACCATCTCTGGAGAGCCAGCCCTGCTGCCCGGCCCAGAGGCCGAGGCGATCGAGCTGGCCGTGGTGAAGGGGCGGCGGCAGCGGGAGCGGCACCCCCACCACCACAGCCAGCCCCTGGGTGCCAGCCCAGGCGGCAGCCGTGAGGACATCAGCAGGCCCTGCCAGAGCTGGGCGAGCAGCCGCCAGGGCTCCAAGGAATGTCCCGGATGTGCCCAGCTGGCCCCTAGCCCTTCCCCTCAGGCCTTTGGGCTGGACCAGCCGCCTCTGCCTGAGGCCACCAGCCGCCGTAAGAAGCTGGAGAGGATGTACAGCGTTGACCGTGTGTCCGGTGAGGGGGCTTGTCAAGGGCATGGGACACTCATGCTGGGCTGAGGCTTGGATGGGTGCAGGCTGCCCAGGTCATGGCATGCAGGTGCAGCCCTTCCACCACGTCCCACGTCCCACGTCCATGTCAGGCCTCACGGCTGGCTTTGGCCTTGCCAGCACCAAGTCGTTCTAGGAGTGCTTCTCCGAGGAGGGGGCCTGGGAAGATCTTAAGGGTTGAACAGGCAGAAAACGTTGGCTGAATTGAAAGACTGGGCTGCCTTAGGGGAATCCTGGGGAATAGTCCCTGCCCTGGGGCCCGCCAGGTGGGGCTCCCACTCATCAAGGGAGGCCCATAGGTGTCTGGGGCCTGGCTAGCACTCCCCAGGAGGGTGGCTGAGGAGCCCTGGAGGCCTCTGAGTCAGGAGGAGGCCCCTTGGGACATCTGCGTAGCCCCACACCTTCTGGCTCTGAGGTTGTCATCCCCTGAAGAGCAAAATTCTAACCAGCTGAGCCACCGCAGCCTCTCAGGAGACCTCTTGAGCCTCCAGATCGGCAACCCAACGGGGCAGCAGGGCGCAGACCCTGCGTGCAGGCAGTTCACCTCCACGGCCCGCAGTCCTCTGATGAGCACAAGCGAGGGGTGGGGAAGTGGTCAGGGTGAGAGGGCAGAGTAAACAGCACCTGGCCCACCCTGTCTAGCAGTTGTAAGAACCCTAAGAGTGGAAAGTCTCTACCCACCCTCCTAGGAGGGTCTGAGGGAGAGAAGATCTGGCCGAGTGGACACCAGAGTGGGCTGCAGAGAAGGGCCTGGAGCCCCCAGGAGAGGCTGCAGCCATTGTCCTTGCCCTGCCCTCCTGCCCTCCTGCGCAGAGGGAGACAAAGTCAGCCCTGGGCACCCTGGAGCAGGCTGTGTCTTCAAAGGAACACTCATCAGCCGTGGGCAGTGGAGGGAGAGCTAAGCAAAGACCAGCGTCTCGAAGCCACTGAGCTGCTGCAGTTTGAACAGCTGAGCGGATGCCCCAGGCCCAGTGGCTTGTGCCGGCCTCCCCCGCCTGGGGCAGGGCTGGGGAGCTCCAGTGCTTCCCCTGCGCTGCTGCGGTGGCGGAAGCCCTGCCCTCCCTGCCAGGCTGGGGCAGAGACTTCAGGGACCTCCAGGCCACTCTAGTTACTGTTCCTGTGTCTCTTCCAGATGACACCCCTATCCGGACCTGGTTCCCCAAGGAAAACCTCTTCAGTTTCCAGACAGCAACCACAACTATGCAAGCGTGAGTTGTGTCTGATGTGAGGCAGGGGGCCTCTCCCTGGGGCTCAGGAACTACTGTTAGACCCTCTCCCGTCCTCTGAGCCCAGCTGGTGGCTGTGTCTGAGCAGCCCCACGTGCCCACGTTCCGCCAGGTCTGTCTGCAGTGATGTCAGGCTGGAGGAAGGCAGGGCTGGCTGCTCTTCCCAGCCAGCTCCCCTATCCCTCTCAGACCCTTTAGTCAGTCTGTCCCTTCTGTCCTCCAGGGACCTGGCTGGGGGCTGCAGCCTACATGTGGGCCACGTGCACAGCAAGCGATCACAACTTAGGAGGCCCCTGGGGATGTACTCTTTTTCATCTTCACTCGTCTGGGTGGCCTGTCAAGGGGTTCCTTCCAGAGAGGTGCAGTTTGCCGCGGTGTCTCCCACCTGCTCCCCTGGGAGCTCACCACCACCTTCAGGCTGGATGGGGGCCGTTGTCTTTGCTGCTGGTTCCAGGGCCAGAGGAGCAGTCAGGCCTCCCTGCAGCTTGACCAGGTCACAGCGCCTGGTGGCATGGGCCACGGCGACCTGAGTGTCTGCTGTCCTTTCAAAGGCTGGCCCATAGCATAGCCACAATCCCGCTGGTGCTGAGAGTACCGGGAGGGGCCCCAAGTCAGTGACAGGAAGGGGACTAACTGCAGGGGCTGAGGGCTGAGGGCTGAGGGCTGAGGGCCTCTGCTCACTGTGTCTTCTCTTTCACGCTGCCCCTTCCCGCCGCGACCCCAGCATCTCGTAAGTACCCTGTGGGATCTCAAGCCTGAGGGCACGGTGGTTGTCCCTGGGGAGCTCTCCTGCCCCAACAAGGTCGGGCAGGCCAGGGACCCGGGCTGGGCCTTGACTGAGGGCGTGCTGTGTCCCAGCACGCACCGAGGCTGCAGCAGGCCTGCTGGGAGCCAGGCCGAGGACAGGGCGAGGCAGGCCAGGACCCTCTGCCTGGCCCGGTGCCCTGGATGCCCTGCTGGGCCCTGTGCACGCGCCTCTGTCCCCACGTCTCTGTCCCTCCTGCCTGCGGCCAAGGGCAGTGCTGACTCGTGGCGGTTTCCCAGGGTGTTCAGGGGCTACGCGGAGAGGAAGCGCCGGAAACGGGAGAATGATTCCGCGTCTGTAATCCAGAGGTAGGGCCTGCCAGCCACTCGCCACCAGGGTCCGTCTCTTGTCTGTGCTGGTCTCGCCTGGGCCCACCCGGCCCGGCAGACCGATGGGGGAAGGGCGGTGGCGACCACTGGCCTGGCCCTGCTCTGGGGACGCGACAGGCAGGAGAGGTCCTGTGGCCTGGGCCCCCAGGCCTGTGTTTTGGGGTACATTGACAGGTGGACTGCAGCCAGCTGGCCCACCTGTGCCTCCCTCTGACCCTTGAAGCCCAGAGCTGTGGGGTCAGCAGCCAGGCTTATCCTCCCCGGTCCCTACCTCGGGGATGTGCCAGGAGGCTTGTCTGTCTGTCTTGGATGTTGGGCCTTGGCAGGGCATAAAGTTTGGGGTGAGGAAAACCTGCCTCTGAGGTGGCCTGGGGACACAGTGGTGGGGAGGGTGCATCTGCAGGCCCCAAACCCCCCTCGGGGGGTGCAGTTATGCTGCCCTGGCCACTGTGCCAGGAAGCAGGAGCCCCCGACCACCTGGGGAGGGAAGCTGGCAGGGTTCAGAGTGCCTGGGCCCAAGTCTGGAAGGGAAGGGAAGGGTGGGCAGCAGAGGAAGGGTACCGGATTGCACAGAGGAGCAGCCCTGGGATGGGGTGGGGCGGCGTGGCAGGAGCAGGCTTGGTGGTGTGCCTTTGTCCCGCCAGGAGAGGGGGGCCGTGGCAGGGTCTCAGTAGAAGAGGGACTGGGTGAGCCTTGGGCCAGTGGGAGAGCATAGGGGCGCGGGAGGGCATGCCTCAGGCAAAGGAGTAATATCAGAGACGGTGGCCGTCAAGCAGTGGGGAGGGGAGCGAAGGAGACAGGGGCCGCTGCCCACCTCCTCTCGGCCCTCACCAGCCCCTGTGCTTCTACCCGCAGGAACTTCCGCAAACACCTGCGCATGGTCGGCAGCCGGCGGGTGAAGGCGCAGAGTAAGAGCCGGGGGCGAGCAGGTGGGTGGGTGGACAACGCTGCTCTTGGCCGACTGGGGCTTCGTGTGCTCGCTGCGCCCCAGACCCGCGTCCGCAGACTTGCTGCAGCCCCTGACCCCGCCCCGCCCTGGCTACGCCCAATGCCCTTCTGCCGTCCGTCCCAGCCCACTCCACCCCGTCCCGCCACACTGGCGTCCTCCAACTGCCCTGACCACGGAGACCCTCCAGCATCCCCACTGCCTCCCCTAGCCAGCCCACCGTGCGTCCCTGCGGACCTCCCGTGGCCGTGGGCCCCGCCCAACCAGGCCCCGCCCCCAGACAGGCCCCGGCCCTAACGGGTTCTGCTCTCACTGCAGCGTTCGCTGAGCGGCGCGAGCGGAGCTTCAGCCGGTCCTGGAGCGACCCCACCCCCATGAAAGCCGACACTTCCCACGACTCCCGAGACAGTAGGTGCCCGGCCAGGCCGGCCCTCCTCCCCCAGAGGCCCCTTTAGGTCATCAGCCCCGCTCGCCCGCCAGGAGGACAGCTAGGCTTCTGCGCTTCCGCTGAGCCTCAGTTTACCGTCTAAGGGGGCGCTCCCGCACCCCACTTTCTGGGCAGGGGTAACTGAGAGCTGCGGCTCCGCTGGCTGCCTGGCCTGTGTGCCACCCTCATGCCAGAGGCCCGGGGACCCGGGTGCTGCAGTGCCCAGCTCCTCCTCAGCCCGGGCACGCGGTCCGCCTGGCTGAGGCTGCCACTTGCACCCTGGCTCCCACCTGCCTCGCACCAGGGCCCTCTAGCCTCCAGTCGGGCAGCTCCTGGCTGGTGGCATTGGCCAATCTGGCCGGGCTGGTGGGGACACCGGCTTGGCTCTCTCACCCACTGCCGGTTTCTCACTGGCCCGGAGAACCTTCCAGGACATGGCTTATGGCTTTGTCCATCACCCATCTCTGGGGCTGCAGCTGGAACAGGAGGGGCTGCAGCTGGCCCGCAGTCCTAGTGACCCATCCTGCCCCTCAGGTAGTGACCTGCAGAGCTCGCATTGCACCTTGGGCGAGGCCTTCGAGGACCTGGACTGGGAGACGGAGAAGGGCCTGGAGGCTGTAGCCTGTGACACTGAGGGCTTTGTGCCCCCCAAGGTTATGGTGAGGCCCGGTGCAACCGTTACAGGCTGCCTAGCAGTCGGGGGCAACCTCACAGGGGCCCCTGCTGCCCGTGGGTTCGAGGTGGCAGGCCCTGAGCAGGTCCCTTGTCGCCCCCAGCTCATCTCCTCCAAAGTGCCCAAAGCTGAGTACATCCCCACCATCATCCGCAGGGACGACCCCTCCATCATCCCGATCCTCTACGTGAGTGCCCGCCCTGCTCTGCCTCGGTGAATGCGCGCACGCGCGCGTGTGTGTTTGTGTGTGCGCGCGGTGCCTGAGAGGGGTTCTGATGTGGCTGTGGCTTTCATCTGTCCCAGGACCACGAGCATGCGACCTTCGAGGACATTCTGGGTATGTGCTCCCGACCCCACTGCCTTCTGCTCCTGGGACTGGGGTGCACATGGGCTGCAGGGGCACTGGGGGCAGCACTCACACTGTGCCTCCCCCAGAGGAGATAGAGAAGAAGCTGAATGTCTACCACAAGGGGGCGAAGATCTGGAAGATGCTCATTTTCTGTCAGGTAGGGCTCAGCCCTCCCCGCCCAGGGGTGGGGTCGTGGATGCCTCTTCCCTGTGTGAGCACGCTCACGTGTGCATTTGTGTGCACGTGTTGTGGGGAGCAGTGGTTGGACACCCCCGTGTGCAGTCGGACCAGCTAACTGCAGCCTCTTACAGGGTGGCCCAGGGCACCTGTACCTGCTTAAGAACAAGGTGGCCACCTTTGCCAAAGTGGAGAAGGAGGAGGACATGATCCAGTGAGCAGGGGCCGCTGTGGAGCTTGGGGGGGGTGGGGTGGAGCCAGTGTGCCGTGCCCCCACAGTGCCTTCCTGGGTGCCCTCCTTGTGCCTGGGACCCGGGGCTGGAGGCTCCAGTGACCACCTCTCCCCCACCAGCTTCTGGAAGCGGTTGAGCCGCTTGATGAGCAAGGTGAACCCGGAGCCGAACGTCATCCACGTCATGGGCTGCTACATCCTGGGGAACCCCAACGGGGAGAAGGTACCGGGACCCCAACCCACCCCAGGTGCAGACCCTGGGCCCATGGAAAGACTTGACAGGACACTTTTATCTTCAGACTCCCTTCCCCTCTCCTTTCAGTCCTCCCAGAGAAAGCCCCTGTGCTTGATCCTCACCAGCGGTGGGGGACTCCTGCTCCCCAACCACCCACCCCCAAGTCCCTCTCTCTTTCCCTGCCCTGAATTCACGGCCCCACCTGTTCTTCCAGCTGTTCCAGAACCTCAGGACCCTCATGACCCCTTACAGGGTCACCTTCGAGTCCCCCCTGGAGCTGTCGGCCCAAGGTGAGTTTTTGGGCTGGCCCCAATCCGAGGGAAAGGGTTTGGGAGGCAGCGGCCTGAGCCCCCCCACCTCGCTCCTCCTGCCTCAGGGAAGCAGATGATTGAGACCTACTTTGACTTCCGGCTGTACCGCCTGTGGAAGAGCCGCCAGCACTCCAAACTGCTGGATTTTGAGGACGTTCTGTGAGGGCAGGGCTGCCATCAGCCGCTGCCTCGGACCGGCGCCTGGGACTGGGCCGCTGTGTGCCACCCGTGTGCGTGGGTCCTGGTCTTCATGGCCACTTCAGGGCACCTCAGACGCCGCTCAGGTTGCCTCCCGGGGGTCTGGTCCTCAACGCGCCACGGGTCAGAGGCCACGACTCCTCGGCCCGGGGGAGCCTCGCCCAACGCGGCTGGCGGATGCTCCGTGGCCTGGGGTTGCCCGGGTCTAGGCCTCGTCTGGAGGCTGCAGCATCGGGTGGCTCCCCCGCAGGTTCATAGAAATAAGTGCAATTTTCTACCCTCCTCCTCCCGAGACAATTCAAAGGGAAGCAGCATTACTAGTTAACTAGTTAAGGCTATGTTACTAGTCATGGCATAGACCACCCGGCTCAGCGTGTGTTCAGGACCCGCTCCGCCCCAGCTCCCCAGCCCTACCGTATCTGATCACCAGCACCGGGGCGCCGTCTGCCGGCCTGGCTCCTCCCTGGCCGAGTCCCTGATCGTCTGTGCTTGGACTGCTCCTACCACCCTGCTTCTCTGACCTTGGCTGTGCCGACCCGGCAGGGCGCCTGGGCAGCAGCAGGGAGGGTTTGCCTGCCTTTCTCCCACAGGGACACCGGGTGGAGCCAGGCCCTACCTGCTCCCCGGCCCCCCGACACCTGCCTGGCTCCTGGCTGCTGTCCAGCTCAGCTCTCGGTAGCCAAGGTCTGGAGGCCTCGCCTAGTGCAGAGGTCTGGGGTCTTGGTGGGGGCCCGGCTGGGCTGGGCCCTGGTAGGCAGGAGCCCTGCTGTGCAGTGCAGTGTGGGGCTGGACCCCCGCAGCCCGGGCCCAAGGGCTGGCAGCTGGTGGGCTGGGAGTGGGCTCTCTTGTACATAGCTGGGGCTTGGGGGCTGGCCCCCCTTTGCAGAGCCCAGTCTGAGAAACCTGGCTGTGCCCTCACCAAGGGAGGGCAGGGGCTTGTCCAGGGCTCTGAACAATGTACAACACCCCTTAGAGTGACCATTAAACCTGATCCCCCGCTGCGGCTGCCGCGTGGGTGTTCTCTCTCAGCGCCGTCTGCTCCCTCCGTGGGCCCAGAGTCTTCCAGGCCTGCTGGCGTGAGGTTGTTGCTGGAGTGGCCACCTGCACACCCTAGCTGGGACCGAGGGGCTGGGGCGCTAGGCCTCCCTGGCAAGGGCCCACTGTGTGAGAGGTCTGGGGGTGGGGCTCTGGAAGGGGTCTGGGCAGGAGCAGGTCCCCGAGATGGCTGCAGGGGCCGGGATGTGGTCCTGCAGGGCCAGGCAGGGTTGGGAGATGAGGGCAGTGACACCCCACCGCCAGCAGTCTCTGCCCCTCCCGGACACAGAGCAGGGCCCTGTTCCCCAAGCCATTCTCTGCACGTGGTCGGCAGTGTGGCCACAGCAGGAAGCCAGGAAGTGACCACGGGACCAGCTGGCCTCAGCCTCAGTCATCCCCAGGCGTGCCAGCGCCACCCCCTCCCTGTGGCCAAGCTGCTGTTGGGTCTCCAGGCCTGGCTACCCTGGAGGCTCCTGTGGACAGAGAAACAGGTGCCAGCTTGGCACATCCAGGGCCACCAAGTTTGGGAAGGGTGGGAGGCACGCAGTGGACAGCATGAGTGAAGGCTGGGCGGCCCAGGGTTCTGTAGAGCTGGAGGCCAACAGCCCTTCCTGGGGTGGGTGCGCCAGCTCAGGGAAGCCCCACAGCCCTGCAGCCTCCAGCTGCTTCCGGGGCCTTGCGGGTGGGCAGAGGGTTTGGTGCCACTTGAGTAGATAAGTTTTTAGAGCGTTAGATTGAATACTGAATGCCTACCTGCATACTTTCACTCACTAGTCACTCGTCACAAAGTCGCACGTGGCTCAGGAATCCTCTGCACACTCTCAGTTTCTGAGACGTGACATGTCTCCCCACCCTCCAGGCCTGGAGCCTGAGCGATGCTGCCAGGGGCATTTCTGTCTAGGGAAAGCCTGTGGTGGCCAGGAGGATAGCTCTCCACTGTGACCCACTCGCCCGCGCACTGTGTGCTCAGAAGGCACGGCTGCCTTACCCCAGGACCTGCCAGAAGCTTTGTCATGTGCCAGTGCCCCTCTCCTGGCCTCTAGTGGGGACCCTGCAGTCTCGGGTCGGGCTGCTCCAGTGAGTGTGCTCACCCCGCGGTCTTTAGGGTCAGCTGTGGTGGGGAAAGGCTGGCAGGGTCTGCCCACGGGAGGCTTGAGGTCTTGTGTCTTGTTCACAGGGTTCCTTCCTTTACACCCATAACCACCAGAAGTGTGATGGAGAAAAAGATGTTAAACCCAGAACGTGCCCAGAAACAAACCCAGTACAGATGTGAAGAGTGCAGACCGGGGGTGGGGGGGGCGCAGACGTGGAGGTGGGCTGGGTGGGGGGCGGGGCCAAGGCAACCTGTGGGCTCCGCAGTGTCCCCGCACACCCACCCCAACTGAGACAAACCGTGGCAGCAGCCAGAGAGGAGAGTGGGGAAGAAATATTTGCAACAGATGTGAAAGGTAAAGGATTAAGGTCCTTAACATACAGAGTCTTTATATATTGACAAGAGACAAAAACCAAAAGGGAAAAGTGGGTAAAGGTCTGAGTTGTCGGCTCACAGAGGAGAACATTAAGTGGCTGGTGAACAGCTGGCAAAAGGAAAGTGCTTCCTGCCTGTCGGTTTGGGTGTCTGTGCCCCGTGCTGGTGGCTGTGTGGAGAGAGGGTCCTGTGAATTGCTGTAGCCTTTTTGGAAAACAGTCTGGCAATAGCTCTTAAAGTATAGCAGGTGAACACTGAGCCAGCACCTCTCTCTGGGGCTTCTGCACAGACGTCCGCTGTCGCACTGTCTGTGTGATTAACTGGGGCGAGGCCAGGCCGTGTGGACGTGGACATGGACGGCTACCCCAGAGGAAGCTGGTCGTTCAGAAGGCTGCTTGTTAGGGAGAAGAGAGGTCGGGCCTGCGAGAGGCCAGATACTCTCCGTTAAAATCCAAACTGGTGACGTCAGGCTCACGTAGGTGAGGTGTGTCCTGTTTACCCAGTGTGACACACACACCTTCACAAGTGCCCAGAAGACCAAGCCCGATGTCGCGTCCTCGCCTGCCCCTGGCCCCAGCCTGCCGCACCCACCTGGGCTGCTCTCTCCAAGCCTTGCAGTGTGCGGACCCAGGCCTGCGTGCCCAAGCCTCCTCAACAGCCCAAACAGCCACCCTTTGGCACCACCAGTGGGACAGAGCCCACCCTGGGGAGGACACCCAGGGCACATCTGCCTCGTATGGAACCTTCCATCCCCCTTAGGCTGACGCTCACTTGGCTCCGCCACTTGCCCTGCTTCCAGAAGGGACACACTGTGCCAACAGCTCCTTTCACTAGGTCTGTGTGCCCTGGGGGAGAGGTCTTCAGAGCCCAGGATTAGGAAGATCATCAGAGCCACTGTGGGGGGCGCCCCCTGCTGGTCCCACCCCTCGCAGCTGTCACCTGGCTGAGGTCTGTCTGGGGACTCCAGGCAGGCAGTCACATGGGCTAGACATGCTGTATTCACAGGACCTGTTGCAGTAGGGCCTGGCTCAAGGGCCAGGAAGGGGGGCCCAGAGGGAGCTGGGAGCCAGGGATCTAGAAAGTACAAGAAAACTACCTTCAAAGGTATTTATGAGCCCCTGGCCCTGCACCCAGGTGTGTGTGTCCCAGACCCACTGCGGGTGCATCTGAAACCCCAGCATCCTCCACAGAATGGAGACAAGACCCCAGACTCACAGAGTGGTCTTCAGAACATTGCACACCTGAAGAACCATGGAGATCTTGACCAGCAGGAAGAAGGCTGCCAGCATGTCCCGGGGATGAGAAGGCACAGGTGTTGGAAGAGCTGGTGATCTAAAATAACGAAACAGCCAGTAATCTACCAGCAGAAATGGGTTTATTTAGGAACAGTAAATACTTGGAGTTCAGGACAAGCAATCTATGGTGGATCACAGGCAAGTACAGAGAACAAAGGAGAGGAAACTCTTTTATAGAGGAGAAGGGGGATTTGGGAGGGGCTGATCTAAACAAAGAGTCCATTGGAGGAAACTGGGAGTTGGAGGTGTAGTGGCTTTTCACTGGCTGAGCTGTGATGGTCTCTCATTGGCTGGGCTGTTGCCGGGCAGGGAGAACACCTCCCTTCCTCCTGCTGGGTAGTAAGTAGGAACCTTCTTCCTGTTGAGTCTGAAACTGAGGCTGAGCAGTAGATGTGAGAGCTCCCCTTTCTGGCCTCCTGACTCCATTTTAAATGGGGTTTCCGTCTCTTAATTTTCACGTTTCCCCTGCTTTGCTCAAGATCTTACTCTGCAAGCATTGCTGATCAGCAGTCATGTCTTTCCTGGGTTCAGTGACTTTTTCTCTCTCTATGCCAGGAAAGACCTTTCCTGGGTGTCGTGTCCCACGTGGAAGGGAAAGTGCGTGGGCTGGAAACCTACTGAGGTCACGTTCAAGTAACAAGGAGTAGGAGGGAGATCTCGCAGGGATTTCCCATCTGAAGTCTGTGTCTTAGAACAGCAAGAGCACACTTACAGCTGAAAGAATGAAAAAGCACTTTGGGAATCTCAGTGGAGGGAAGAACGGCTGATAAGCCTTTCCCCAAGATAGCAAACCTTCAAAGATTTGTAAGTTTGGAACTAAACGTTTACCAGTAATACAGCCTGTAGGTTATGCATTCAGAAATCATGAATTTGGATAAGAATCCACAGTCAGTTAAGAGTCTGGATGAAAGAGAGAGACTTGTGTGAATTCTAAACCTTTTAATAGGCCTGGTCCTGACATCTTGGGTAAGCTCTCTGATCAGATGTCATCTGCTTCAATTCCTGGAAATCTTTACTTTCAGGCCACCAGGTGGTGTGCAGGTCCAGTCGGCCCACAGCAGTGGGTTTCTCAGCAGAAACCATGGAGGCCAGAGGAAGCGGCACATTTTCAGGTGTGGAAAGAGAAGAGCTGTCGTGTCCATCCAGAATTCTACATGCAGCAAACATCTCCTTCAGGAGGAAGGTGGCATGAAGACAATCTGAGATGAAGGGAAACTAGAGAATGTGTAGGCGGCAGACCTGCTCTAAAAGGGCTGTTAAAGGAGATTCTTCAGACAGAAGGCACAGGGCACCACAAGGAAACTCGGAACACCGGGATTGAGGAAGAGCAGCAGAAATGGGGAACGTCATAGACTGTTCTCTCCTCAAGCTCTTTAAAATATGTTGGATGTTGGGCGCAGAAGTCACAGCACGGTCTCGGGGATTCCAGCGTCAGACAGTGTGATGTTAAGACAGCGACAGTGTGAAAGGTCAGGGCAGAGAGACCAACATGGTGTGAGGTTTCTGCATCCCAGCTGAGTGCCAGGTGCGGGTTGCGAGAAGACTGTGGGTAGCGACAGAGCAGACACAGTCACAATCAGAACAGAAAGGCTTGAACAGCATACTAAAAAAGTTCAGATGACCCAGAAGAAGGCAGGAAAGGGAGGAAAGAGGAACAAAGTAATAATTAATGTCAGGCCTAAATTCAAATGACCGTTCTGAATTTCCATATTCGAATGACCCAGAATTGGATGTGATGTAAATGGGTGGGTCTCACAGCCCAGGAAGCTCTACGGGCTTCAGGAGCCACGAGCCAGGGACGGATGAAGGCCACGTGTATGTTTCTTATTGTAAATCACAACATCTGAAACTGTTCACAGGAAACTCACAGTAAATGCTGGAGAGGCTGTGGAGGAAAGGGAGCCTCCCACACTGCTGGTGGGAACGCAGTTTGGTGCAGCCACTGTGGAAAACAGTATGGAGATTCCTCAAAAAACTAAACATAGACTTACCCTATGATCCAGCAACCCCACTCCTGGGCATACATCCAGAGGGAACTCTAATTCGAAAAGATATGTGCACCCCAACGTTCACAGCAGCACTATATACAACAGCCAAGACATGGAAGCAACCTAAGTGTCCATCAGCAGAGGACTGGATAAAGAAGTTGTGGTGTATTTATACAACAGACTACTACTCAGCCATAAAAAAGACCGAAATAATACCATTTGCAGCAACATGGATAGATGTAGAGATCGTCATTTTAAGTGAAGGAAGCCAGAAAGAGAAAGAAAAATACCATATGAGATTGCTTATATGTGGAATCTAAAAAAAAAAGGGACACTATGAACTCATCTATAAAACAGAAACAGACTTGCAGGCATAGTAAACAGTCTTATGGTTAATGGCGAAAGTGGGTGGGAAGGGATAGATTTGGGAGTTTGAGATTTACAAATGTTAGCCACTATATGTAAGAACAGATTTTAAAAGTTTCTTCTGTACAGCACAGGGAACTATGTTCAATATCTTGTAATAACCTTTAATGAAAAAAAAATGAAAACAAATATATGTATGTATATGCATGACTGGGACATTGTGCTGCACACCTGAAACTGACACATTGTAACTGACTTTACTTCAATTAAAAAATATGTAATGCTATGAATAAGTCACAGTAAAAGGATGGAAGATGATATACTGTGCAGATACTAATCAAAAGAAGACAGGAGTGAGTGGTTATGTTAATATCACACCAAATACATTTGAGAGCAAAGAGAATCACTGGGAAAGAGGGACATGACATATTGATAAAAGGGACAATTCTTCAAGAAGCCATAACAATTATAAAGGTAGGTACCTAACAACACAGATTTAATAGAAAAAATTTTGAAGCAAAAATGGGCAGAACTGAAAGTGGAAATAGAAAATGCACAGTGACAGCTGGAGGGGGCAGCACTCCTTTCCCAGGAGCAGACAGGCGCAGGAGACAGCCAGCCAGCAAGGACGCAAAGCGACTGAAAGAGCAGCTGGGCGTGACGACCAGCACGCTCCACCAGCGGCAGCTCTGTGCATGTTCTCCTCAAGTGCACGTGGAACAACCACCGATATGAAACACTTCCTGTCAAAAAGACGAACCCTAGCAAATTTAAAATAATCAGTAACATGCAGAGTGCGTTCTCTGACTGCACAGAATTTGGGTGGAGCTCAGTTAAGAGAACGACGTCAGGGAATTCCCCAGTCACCTGGGAATTAAGCCACACAACGCTAAACAATCCATGGACCAAAGAGGAAGTCTAAAACGAATCCTAAATCATCTTGACCTGAATGAAATGAAAATACAGCATAGGAAAGAACTGCGAGGCGCAGCTAAAGCAGCGTTTCGAGGGAAACGTGTAGTACAGCTGCCTCCATTAGAAAAGAAGAAAGGTCTCAAAGCAGTAGTCTAAGCTTACCCACTAAGGAATCAGAAAAGGGAGAGCGATATACACCCAAACCAAGCAGAAGGAAGGAAATAAATACAAGAGCAGAAACGGAAGCAATCTGAAAACCAAAGAAGTAAAAAAAATGTGAAACAGGAAGCTGACTTTTTGGGGTGATCAATAAAATTGAGAAACCTCTGGCAGCGCGGGCGAAGAAAACGAGAAAAAACAAATTACCAATGTCAGGAATGAAGGAGGTCTGTAGCAAAGGGATGGGAAAGGAATGTGTGCGTGACCCTCTTCACACAGACGCGGCCGCCCGAGTGAAGTGGACCAGGTCCCCAAAAGCCAGGAGCCACCGACACTCACTCAGCATGAACCAGGTGGCTTGAAGGGCCCTGTCACCACTGGAGAAAGTGAGTTTGTAACTATCGTCTGAAGAAGAAAGTCTCAGATGGTTTCACTGGCAAATTATACAAAACGTTTAAAGGAGAAACGCGAAGCCTACGACCCCCCACCCCCAGGAAGTGAAAGAAGAAGGACACCTTCCCAGCTCACCGGCAGGCCCGGCGCTGCCCCATCCTGACGCTGGCG